CGAGGTTCTTGGTACAAGCAGGAAGGTACCAAACATTGTCGAGGGTGATAGCTCTACTCAATGAACTATCAGAGAAATTGCCGACATCAAAACTGACAGAGCCAATACCCTGAACCTCAAGAATATGCCCAGAAGCAGTCTGAACACGTTTTTTAACTGCAGACAGAGAAGTGAAGTAGCTTCTGTCTGCAAAAATATGATTAGTGGCACTTGTGTCAAGAACCACATCTTTCTCCACCGGGCAGCTGGGTGCGGACAAAACGTATTCCGACACAATCCAAGCTTCACCAGTATTTTGATGGGCAGAAACACCCCCGGAGCCAGAACTATTTCTTTTCTTTCCGAATTTGTGAAAAAGAGATCGAGTTTTGGCGGCTTTTTCGGGATTTTTAGCAGCCCATTTTGACCCATCCTGAGTCTTAAGCCACAAGAAGCAAGTTTCACGAATGTGATTAGTTCGTCCGCAGTGGCCACAGGTTTTACCCTTGTGGGGATTGACCGATATGTTGGAAGAATTATTGGCAGGTGGTGCCCCTGGCCTGCGGTTGCCGGAAACGAAAGAAACAGAAGGGAGAGGTTTGTGGCCCTCACAGTTGGCCTGAGTTGACCGGAGAGATTGCACGGCACTGGCAAAAGAACAGTCCGTATTATTTCGAAGGGTTGTGACAGACCCAGCAAAGTAACCTCCACAACAAGTATCAAAGAAATCGAGAAGGTAGCCTTTCATGATATCATCTCTAGGCTGAAGTGAGGGATCGACGCAGGCGATCCGCATCTGTCGACGGACCAGCTCTTCAGCAAATTTGTCGACGCTGGTTCCATCGGGCATTTCAAAGCGCCAAAAGTCCTTGAGAAGAGCAACAACAGTACCTTCGCATCTTGGCTTGAAAATGTCTAGATGGAGTCCCACATCTCTTCTGCCGTGTTTAAGTTAGAGACGAGGCGAGGTTTTTGTACTTTCAACTTTGGCATTGTGAAGATCCAATATGTGCTCATAGATGTGAGCTTCAATATCGAGGTTGCTGAAAACCCTTTCAACGAGGTCAGACCATTGAGTAAATGTTGAAGTACTTAACTGGGGAGCACATTGAAGTGCCTTCAAGATATTGTTTGTTGACATCTCGAGAGTTGTGAGTAGGAAGATATATAAGATAGGGCGAGGTAAAGTAGAGAGATGTCAAAAGATGTTGAAAGCATTTGAACTTAGTTCAAAAGGATAAAGAATAAGCAGGTGAAGGGAAGCAAGAAATCGCTGAAGAAAAAAGAAAGACAGAGTCAGAAGTATTTATACCCAGAGATAAGTAGAGCGGGTTTGGTCTCATAATCTGTTGCAATTTCATAGTAAGAGGAGCAGAAAGTATAGCTCAAAGAATATTGTTTCCATTAAAGTTCTAAGTTACATGTAAGACGCGAATTTATGTGCGCATATCCTAGAGTTAAAGTGGGTATGCAAACAACAATTATTACAGTGAAAAGTCTTCAGCACAACTGACCACAAAACCATTGTGCGGGAAATAAAGCAGTGCCGACCCCGCAACATCAACACCATCCTATTTGTTGCAAAGTAAACATAACCATGTCTCTCACTGCATTTGCACCTAGTATCATATTACCCTGCACATGCAAATGCATGAGAGAACATCTCAACAGCAAAAAGAAATTAAAGTATACAATACAGGATGTATTATGCAGTATGTAGGAAAGTTGTTCATACTTGCAAGGAATGCCAATTATCATAAGAAATGTGATAAATTACAACAAATCACGTGATAACACGAGCCTCATTCTTATTTGGGAATAGCGCAGGCAGAAATAGCAATTTCTTTATTCTTGTACATGTAGACTAAAAATTACGAGGTATGAAAATGGGATAGAAGCAGCCTTAGGAATGTATGATTGATTGGCTATGGAAGGAGAAATAGGAGTAACTACAGCGAGCCCTATATACATGGGGTGTGAGTGTTTGCTGAGTAATACCAAGACTAGATTGGCATTCATGTCACGTGTAGGTATTTCATGTTGCAGCACCTACAATGCCTTGCTCACTTTATTATTATTCATTTTATTGTCCTTTCTGAGTCCATAACTGTATAGGACATGCAGGTCCTCTCTGCCTACAGGCCAAGGATACCTATGTGTCATGGATCAAGGAACAGGCGCTGGTGCAACTATGTGGTTGATAGTATGTAAATTATCATTCTGAAGAGAAAACTACTTCAGTCTCTATCTATACATATATATACATTGTCTATGTGGTTGAGGCACAGTCCCTCCCTCTCGGTTCCAATGGGATTCTTCACATGTGTTGTAGCTGTATGGTCCAATACTGCTGCCCTGCCAAACTAGATGCTGATGCCTTGATATTCTGTTGAGTGGCATCATATATCCACGCATTGATGTCGATCAATCGTGCGCTACCAATATCAGGCTAGGCTCATGTTGGCTAAAATGCGCTACAGGAACCAATCGGCTTACCAGCCGTTACATTATGCCAATAGTATATCCCCTCTTATGCCTCCCATACAGCTCCCCTCAAACAGTACCACCCCTCACAAGTCCTCCTTCGATCATACACTTAGAGGAGCCCTTTTCCCTTCATTCTCTCCCCTCTCCAGCCAACGAAACGATGGCTACTTGCAGGTGTATGGCAGCCGGGAAAATCGCAAAATAAACTGGGTGCGGGGCTCTCCTAATACCAACATTCGGACTAAATCCGAAGACATAGTGATCCTTCTAAAGCGTTCGAAGAGGCCGGTCAGCTGGGCGCTGCAGACTTGTGTGTAGCTCGGGAAATTCCCCCTCTACCTTTCTAGCCTCCCTAGCCTCCTTCCAACTCCTTCCCGAAGGTCGTGCTGAAATATCAGAAAAGTCTTGACAGAGCGTGATTGCTGTACGGGCGCTTAGCCTAACTTATTTTGTGCCGTCTATGACTCTAGGGAGCACAGTTGATTAATGGACAATAAAAGCCTTCCTGACTAAATTGCCAAAATCTTGGTATTGGCGCCCACAGAAATTCCAAAGTTGAAAACCCCTCGAAAATGTCAGTCCCAGCATAATCTTCAGAGACCTGTTCCCCTCTCGTTCCACAGGTCAGCTGCCTATCCTCCATCATGTTTTTTGTTCCACTAGAGCATCAGTCCCCCATAAACCAAGACCCCAACTTTGTATATTATGACTTAATTCCCTCCTTGTGGGTATACGTTGCGTCATAAATTTGTAATGAGTGATGGCCGGTAATGAATGAGGCAAGCTCTTATTTGCGATTAGGGTGACGCTTTTATTGGTCGTCGAGGTGAGATGATATGTGGTTAGATCGAGGTTCAGGATTCAGAAGATAATGATGAGTGCTGCATGATTGAGAAGTCGTCAAATGGAGACATGCATGTGTTTGCTTTCGACTTCGATTCGGATGCGATTCTTCTTGGCTATCCCAGATATGCAGAGCATACTAAACGATTATACCAGCACCAATAGAAAGTGAAGAATTTGTCTTTTCCGGCTGCCTTACTCATTGCATGCATGAAGGCGTGAGGGCGTAATTATACTTCTCCTAGGAATGGAGGAAAGAGGCAAGAAGTTACACTGAAATGCATATTCTCATTACAACCACATTGTAGTGTATTCATCACTGTAAAAGTATACTCCGACACCTGTAAAAATATATTTCCTTTCCAGATACTCTTATTCCGCATTGTAGTTATTCTTGCGGTATCATTATTTTAGGATATCCGAATAAAGTTCGTGTATTTGGATCAATCGATTAGATCATGACCACATTCCGTGACACGTACCGACTATCAACCTCGATAGAACTTAACTGCTCTTCAAGGTTTGAGGTCAGCGATAGTAAGCTGACGAGGCTATCGAATTTGCCTTTGGGCTGAGCCGGATTTTGATCATTCCTGATAAGTTGCAACTGTTTCTACCTCTTACTACTGTCTTTTGGAGGACTATTCTCAACACCTGACAGTGGTGTTCCCTACGAACCTCCAACTCTCATTGTAAATTCTATAAAGCCAGGATTGAGTAACAAAGTCTTCACTTCGATGACGATTCCCAATTGCATTCGCGGTCTGTATCGTCTTTATCCCTAAGCACATCCCCTTATCACCACTATCATGAAGCTAACTACAATCAGATCAGATGGTAGGGTTGAAGCCTTTCTCATCACCACAACTTGATGTCGGAGGAAAAGCCATATGATGAGTTTCCGGAGCGTATCCAGCACCCGATACGGAGATGATGGATTGAATCAAGTCGGCCTAGACTGTTTCAAAGAGGGCAGATATAGATGAATATGCGCACCTCATGTAGTCCCGGTGTCTAGGCCTCGCCTGGCTGGGGCAGCAGGTTTTTTGAGACTTTTTCTCGCGCTCGCAGTTTCCATTGCTACCATTTATTATTATTATTATTTCTTGTTAGAAGGTACCGCGGAAAAGGTGGCTAAATTCCACGGATAAATACTGAGCTGAGTGACTATTACATTTACATCTAATTTGAGTCTACGACCATTGAAAAAGCTGGATGACTATTCATCACGGGCAATATATCAATGATCTTTGAAAGAACACAAGAGGCAAGGAACACTGTACAAGGTGTGGACTGCGTCAGAGAGGAGCTCAATCTGCTAGATAGTCAATGACTCAAGTTATACAGTGTGATCAAATAGAAAATTCGATATTGCTGCGAGTTAGAGCAGCGGATGGAGTAAAAGGATACGAGCCAGCTTTCCCTTGTCACTAGTGGGATTAGTATCTAAGCTACCCAGGTTCTACTGAAGATATTGGCCTGGATGGTGTACCACTGCACCATCCAACCTCAAGCCATATGAGATATCTTGCTTGTGGACTTGAGATGTAACTATTACTAGCATGAGAATCATGCGGGGAAATTTGCTGCCCTGTCCGGAACTTTAGATGTATAATCCAAGAAGGTTAAAATCGAATTAGATTGAAGACCGGCATAAAAAGAATCCAAACTCTGGAAATAAAAGTGCTGCCATGGCCAAAGACAAGAAAAGCAAAAGCGATAGTAAGAAAGCCACGATAGCCAACAAGAAGCAGAAACAAGAGAAAAAAGGCGCAAAAAAAGAAAAAGCCAGAATCTCAAAGGGGAGCGATAGTGACGCCGATGATATCGCTCTTGATGCTGTACTTGCTGCCTACGCCAAGCAGCAAGAACAATTTCTCAAGGTGACAGAGCTGCCCTGCGATCCACCTAGAGCAAGAGCTTCGGCTACGTTGATTCCGTCTCCTGCAAATGATAACGAGCTATTTCTGTTCGGCGGGGAGTTCTACAACGGCGCTTTGGCTACATTTTTTAACGATATGTATATCTACCTCATCAATAAAGATTCTTGGCGCTTGGTAACTTCGCCAAATACACCATTACCGCGATCAGGACATGCCTGGTGTCGAGGAGGAAATTCTGGCGGAGTTTATTTGTTCGGCGGCGAGTTTAGCTCCCCTAAGCAGGGTACATTTCATCACGTAGGACTCTCTCCCGTTTGGCCAGTTATTTTGTTTTCACACTTCAAGCTAGCCGGAACTGGCTCCCATCATACTAAAGCCTACCAATTCTACCAAAAACTTCTGACCGAATGATCACTGACTATTATTTAGTATAATGATGTGAGTCTAGCCTTGATTACACATCAATACTGCTAAAATATGCTTTCAAGTTCTGGCGATTTGAACCTTCAAATAGAGAATGGACACGTCTGGAACCTAAAGGAAAAACTCCACCTGGCCGTTCAGGACACCGTATGACATATTTTAAGAACTACATCGTGCTTTTTGGTGGCTTTCAAGACACTTCTCAAAATACAAAATATCTCGATGATCTCTGGCTCTATGATACTCAAAATTTCATCTGGCATTGTCCAGCCCTTCCTAGCTCAACGCCAAAGCCCACTGCTCGCTCTTCATTCTCTTTTCTTCCTCATGATGCAGGTGCTATCTTATTTGGAGGATATTCACGCACAAAAGCAACATCTGGCGATAAGCAAGGCGGAAAAGGCTCCAAACCGACCCAAAAAACTTTACTTAGACCAGTGGTCCATCAGGATTGCTTTTTTCTTCGGATACAACAAGCAGGCCCGAACTCAAACGCAAAAGATTCATTGGTAGTTCGATGGGAACGACGAAAAAAGCCCACAAATGTACCAGATCCATCCAGAGCAGGTGCCACTATGGCACACCACAGAGGTCGAGGAATCATGTTTGGCGGTGTGCATGATGTAGAAGAAAGTGAGGAAGGTATTGAAAGTGAATTTTTCAATGGGTTATTTGCTTGGAACATTGATAGAAATCGGTTCTTTCCGCTTGCAATACGCAAAGCTAGGGCAAAGCCAGCTAAACTTCGGGGTGACAAGCGAAATATGAGGAAAGGGCGAGGTGAGGCCGACGAAGAAGATTTATTGCGCAACCTGGCGGCTCTCCAGGCAGGAACACTAGCAAATACCTCAGGAGACGATGAATCTGATAATGAGCTCTCCTTAGAGAAGCTACCCGAAAAAGAACTGCTCACAGAGTTACCGCACTCGCGCTTCAACGCTCAACTAGCAATCCAGAACGATATTTTGTACATGTATGGTGGCACTTATGAGAAGGGAGATCGTGAATTCACCTTCGATGACATGTACTCCATTGATTTAGTTAAACTGAACGGTGTTCGGCAAATATTTAATCGCGAACCAGAAAACTGGAATGCGAAGGATATGGACGAGAGCGAGGATGATTCCGAAGATGAAACTGAAGAGGAGGATAATCTAGGAGAGGATGATGTACCTCTGAATCAACCTTGTCAGACTGAAAGCGTGCAAAGTCCTGGGGTTTCTAATGAAGAGGAGTCGCCCACGAGCACCGTGTTAGAAGAGACGGATCATAGCGTAAATAACGGCCAGGACGACTCGCAAATATGTCCCCGGCCTTTTGAGTCACGTAGAGATTTCTTTCAGCGAACTGGTACCGCTTGGCAGGAAGCTTTGATGACAAATCTTCGATGGAAGGGAATCCAACCCGAATCGCTTACAGTTAAGGAGATCAAAACAAAAGCATTTGAGATGAGCGAAGAAAAGTGGTGGGATTGCAGAGAGGAAATCATGGAGTTGGAAGATGCTCAGGATGCCGCTGGTATCGAGGAGACGATAAACCTCTTAGATAAAGCAGAGGGACTTGGGGGTGGTAGACGTAGGTAAAATTTGGCAGCGTAACCAAGGCGCAGTTTATACTATACAATGATTGAATAGGCCGCATTATTTTTGCTAAACTTCTGAGTTATTCAGTGTGAACAATGCACTTCAGTAGTTTTGAACTTTCATAATACTACAATAAATGATATCTAATGAACAGAAAGTATCATGAAATGCTTGAGGCTGTTTGCAAGCCAATGAAATACGGGTGAAAAAGCAACTGTAAATCAATTTCGATATATATATCTGGGACAAAATTTACTGACTAATTTTCTACAATTGACACACAGATTCTGAACTCATACACACGTTTGGATAGTTTATAGGTGTCAGTTAATTTCTAGTATTCAGGATCGCTGAGATCTTGGGGTATAAGTTTGAAGCTATGGTTCAGCATCCGTGTACTTTGTAATGCTACTCATATTTTTCGACCGCTGATAACTTCAGTGGGGTAAACAGGTGGCAGTGAGATGCTGCGTATAACACTCAAGAGCACAAATGCGAACACCACAGCGGCTACAGGTTATGCGACCCCAGTAGCCACACTGCGCGCAAAAGCGGCGTGGGGGGTGGCGCTTGTCGGCCGGAACCAGTGGGCCACGCGCTGCGATATAGCTTAGAGCAGGCTGCTGGCAAAGGAGCTCCAGGACATTGGATGGTGGTAGAGCGGGCAGGCCAGAATTAATTTGGGCACCATGGTCTGATATGGACTGGGGATCTGGCATCAAATCAAGCCAATTGATGACCGTGTTCGATGACGGCGACAGCGCCTCGTAATCGGCGAGATAATTTGCGAAAGTTTTATGAGATTGTAGGATCTTACGTACAGCGGGCGTTGTGCGAGCCGGGCGATTACTCGTGCCTATGCTTTATTAGTGGATAACCAAATAAGTTACTCCAGATCGCCTCACCACGAACGCCTGCTTCGGGCCGTCGGGAGGCTATGGGAATCGTTACAGTACGCTGGTTATCGCGCTCCAGTGTGGCCAGTTCTCGTAGGAGCTGGGCGTCGCGAGGAACACCTACGCCAGTGTCAGCGGCGGTGCGACGACGCGCGCGTGAGCCAGGTGCAGCTGTGCTGCGCGGTCGGGACGACCCTAAATCAGATACGTATGCCCATCCTGGCGCTGGCGTCGATTTAGGTTGGACGACTTCACGTACACCAAAGTTGCGCATTCTTTATGGTCGAAATGAATCGTTGTGGCAAAAGCTGCAATGCTTCCACGCGACATCGGCTCGGAAGCGGCGTAAAAGGTCACGCGATATGAGGGCAAGACTGAACACCTCTACATGGTGTCCTCTACGAACCTGGGAGTGAAACATTCTCCCAGAGCCAAGTTCAGTCAAATTTCGCAATATGAAAGAAGTTGGCCCACGAGGCAATGATTCAAATTACTCCACCACGTCGCTTTTTCGCTCCCAACGAGTCTGACGCCTACCTAAGTCTCATCAAGTCTATAAGTACGACCAAGTACATCCTCACTCCAACGACCACACTTCTCTTCGATCTTCTCCGGTCTCAGTTGACCACCAATTATACGCCCACGCCGATATTTACACCTGACGGAGGAAGCAATGCGTGGCGCACAAATCTGGGAGAGAGTACTTTGGGATGGACGTGAGAGGGACCAGGACAAGTTTTCAAGATGATGCAAAGGAAGGATATAACATCGGTTGGCCTGAAATTTAGAATTTTGGCAAGGAGTTTTACGAATTGAGCTTTGTGCGCGCCAAGACTTCGCTTGCGAGAGTGCAGCTGACACTATAAACACAAGCCAACGATGGAAGGTGTCGTGGTCCGCCGCCTGGTGGTGTTCTCTGGTATGATTTGAGTAGCCTGGGCACCTACTCCACCTAGGAATGAGACATCTCAGATTACGTTTCGCGCGGAGAAAAGTTGATGGATGACGGAGGCATGTCTGGATAACTCAGGGTTTTTGAGACGTTCCCTTGAGTGGGTATTCACGGATGAGGGTTGACTTGGGATGAAGAAAAAGCCACCATAACTTCGCAGTGGTACCTGCAAATGAAATCCGAGGCATGAGTTCTCTTCTCGTAAATTGAGTCATCATTTCTGTACTTTTCTTTGATATTGTGTCATAGCTAGATAGCTGCATACGCAATTAAAATCTGACGCAAAAAAAAAAGGTGACTCCTAATCGCAGGCCAACTTTCGCGGCCGCAGTTCCATCCCCGCCAGCACCAAATCAGAGGCAAAAGTCAGTCGTTGCTACTAAACGGCAAAATCTCCCCATGTAACAAGTAGCTACTTCCATCACCCAAATCATAGAGCTCGTGCTGATAACCGACTACTTGTCAGATTTGCCCCAGGTTATGCTTCACTAAACATGTCGCTCTACGCGATGATCCAACAACTTGACATTTTCTTAAAGAGAAATTAGTTCATGAAGTTTAGACGATAAAGTGCGGTTTCGCAATCTACCCCACATCCCTTGCCGCCCAAGTCTCTTTTGCCGGTCGTACAAACTATATTGGCAACTTTCTATCATCTGAAGGTCACTGCAAAGTAGAAAAACCGACGAATCATGTAGCAAATCTCATCACAGGTGTCCTGCACTACTACCAAGATTATGATGGGGTTTCAATTGTCCCACTTGAAACAACCAACGAGATGGTTGCTGAAGCCCTCAGAGACCTAACCAATATCTCCCCAGGTAGAGATTATAGAACCTCGAAACTCACTGGAGGCCCAATATGGAGCCTGTAAAAGCCGGGTCGCACTCTTACTTGATGGAATGCGCTCTTCATCTAGAAATACCCCCCTCTTTGGCGTTCTGGTACGCACAAAATATCTCCCTAAGAGGACAAAATACCTCAGTGCGGTAACCGTTTCAGATGGCGCAATGAACCTGGATGCTTCAAATACCCACGCTGTAGAATATATGGCTCTTTCAAGCACCTAGAATATGGACACTCTATCTGTGGCCCTGAAACCTCCCATCATTGCACTCCAAAGTGCGCCAATTGTCATGGGCCTCATCCTGCTGACTCTCTAGAACATCTTCTCCAACATAAGAGAGACAACTCGTTGCCTCCCAGGAAACAAATTGAACAAATTAGGTAGGCTTTATGGGCCGCTAGGCTCAGGTTAAAAGCCGCTCATCGTGGTGTTATCTCTGGGAAGGTCAATGTCATGAACCTAGCCGAAATTATGGTCCCTAAGACCATAGAAGTTACAGTTCACACCTCTATCTGCGCTGAAAACCTCTTCATGGAATCTTAAAGCCCTTCTCGCGGGAGATTCGCGGTCCTCGATGTCACGGGACTAAGTCCTAGGAATGGCTTAGCGAACTTGGGACTTAGAGACTTCCATGTACATAGTTAGATTTACTCTCCTTATCGCACAACACAGTTATTGATCCCGACCCATCCAGATCCTGATACTCCCTTTATACATTCCGTGACATTTTGTGCGATCTTTAACATACGTGCCTTACCGCGCCCTGCTTCTCTGCTTCTTTGCTTCCCTGATCCAGTTACCTGTAACCAGAAAAAAAATTGTATCCTGTAAGAAGATCCTTCTCGAACGCGACAAGGCAATCCTATATTCTTAAAATCAATTTATCCAGTTTTTGTAAAAATGGCCAGCAACCAGGACGCGTCTACTCTGAACCAACTTTTAGATTCCTTCCGTGAAAGTTGGCCGAATCTTGCCAGCGCCATTGGAGACCACACATTCCCGCCAGACTCAAATCCGACTCCTCTCTTGACAACCATAGCCTCAACTTCTGATTCACCTGAAAAAATAATGTTCTGCAGTTTGTTAAAATGTTTTGATCTTAAGTTTGGCGTACTTAACAGACAGATTTCCCACCAGTCAGCAACAATATCTGAATTTGAGTCCAATTTCAAAGGCATGAAAGGACACATCAGTGAGCTAAGCGAAAGACTTACTCTCGCTCATCAGGATACTCTAAAGGCACGAGAAACAATAGAAACGAAGAACCAGCAAGTAGAAAGCCGTCTGAACAATATCAATACATTAAATATGAGAATAAGCAAATTGAATGCTCAGGTATCATCGGGGAATGAAGAAATTCATAGATTACGAACCCAAATTCAAAACAATATTGCTAACTCCAACATTGTTTCTAACCAACAGGCCATCCGTCCAACACCTCGCCGTACTACAGTAGACCATGATAAGTTCACTGGAAATCAGGTTAATATGGAGAAAAGGCAATTAGTCTATGAGCGATGGAAGACACAAGTTGAACAGAATATCCTTGTGGATAAGGCTTGCTTCTCTGGTGAATTTGAAAAAGTGTCGTATATAACTGGACAACTCACAGACAAGGCATGGGACTCTGTGCAAGATGGTGTCCAGATGATGAATAAGAATCCTGAGAATCCTCAGAAATGGGCATGGAAAACATCTGAAGAATTGTTGACAGTCTTGGACGGGCAATATATGCTACTAGATATCACCCAGACAGCAAAAAATAAATTGGATACACTATACCAAGAAAAGCGCGCCTTCGGAGACTTCAAAGTAGACTTTGACCATTTTGTGGAGAAGGCTAAATATGATGACAGGACAAAAGTCGATTTGCTGAGGAAGCGATTGAATAAAAAGATCACCAGTGTAATAGACAATCAAGTAAATTTACCCGAAGATGACGACTTTAATGGTTGGAGCCAGATGATAAATAGGATTGCTAGAAACTTGGGACAACAGGAGCACATTGCTAAAATTCAACAGGCTCCAAATAATTCTTCTCACCAAGATTTTAGGCCAAGTCAAGATTCAATAGATGTTGGTGACCCAATGGATCTCAGTCGTTTGAAGCTCTCCGAAGCCGATAGGAAGTACAGAAAGGATAATAACTTATGCTTAGCTTGTGGCCAGAAAGGCCATTTTGCGAAGGATCACCACAGGAAGATGGATCCGATTCCAATGCCAATGCAGTCAACTAATCTTTTCATACCCAGTGGAGGCGCCAATCATTCACAATCTGCCATTCATGTCCACTCCGCCGCTCCCAAACAAAGATATCCTCTACAACAGAATATGCATCCATGGCAAACACCCTACACGTATCATAGTCCAGTTCCATACGTCCCACAGCAACATCCTTCAAACTTCCAGCCAAATTATTCAGGTGCAGCAGCCCCCACAAGACTCCGCGCTTTGGGAAATACCGGTCACGTTGCAGATTTCTACCCTGAAGATAAATCCGCCAAAGATGTCGCGCGGGCTGTGGACAATCAGTTAAAAGACAAACCCCTGCCTCAAGTCGTTGACAGGGGTCAAATAGTTATGAAGATGGGAATGAATTTATAAGAAGTGTATTACTAGATAGCTCACTGCTAGAAATGTGTTCCACTAGTTCAAGTAATTCAATGCTTCTACGTTCTCATCTTTCTAATCCACGCAATAATGATAGTGTTAAAATTTCCACAACAAGTCTGATTGACAGCAGTTGCACAGCTATTGCATTTGCAGATGAAGAATCAATTGTAAAGCGGTTTAGAATTGAAACTAAACCACTTGCGGCCCCTCGTTCTGTACGTCTAGCTGACGGTAGCTCACAAGTAGCCAAAATGCATTACTTCGTCTTCCGTTTGCATCTCGGTCATCACTCGGAAAATTTAGTCTTTTATATAACAAAACTCAGCAAGAGTAATCCAGTTATTCTAGGTATACCATGGTTAAAACTGCATAATCCAGTTTGTGATTGGAGGTCTATGACGCTCTCTTTCAGGTCTGAATATTGTAAATGTAACTGTTTTCATGGAAGAAATTGGGAGAAAATGTGCTTACCTAGTAAAAGAAACTCTTTTTTCTATGATTCTCGTTGCGAAAACGAGCTGGGAGAGTCCAGAAGACAATGATTCGCTAGATCTTATTCGCCGGAAAGTTGACCAGGCAGATGTGGAAAAATTCTTGGAAAATAAGCCTGATTTAACCATTGATATGATAAAACAAAAATTGCCAGATGAGTTAAATCATCATGCGGAGCACTTCTTACCAAAAAATGCCGGAATACTACCACCTCATTGTCAGTGGGACCATAAGATTGAAATAATGCCAGGCAAAGAGGTTCCGTCCTGTAAAAATAGACCCTTCTCTACCTCAGAGTTGCAATGCATAAAAAAATGGATTGATGACATGCTTGATAAAGGATTTATAAGACAATCATCCTCTCCCGCTG